TTCTCTTTTTCTGAAACTGCACAGCCAGTTGAAATGCAATACAGATTTTCATCACTAACAGCTTTATAGTGATATCTTACAGAAATAAAGTACAGCGTTTAATGACAAAACCTCATCACTCAGTTATAGTACTGACCACTAAATTATATTTCAATATTAATTATATAGAGTGACAAGTTATTCCCTAAAATATAACTCTCAGACTGTTATGTAAAATTTTTAGCCCTTTGCCACAGGATTTTGGCCAGGGTGTATCAAGTTAGAAATTGTATTTTGACTGACTCATATACAGGTAATATACATTTCAAAAATACCTTCAAACCTTTTAGCCTCACACGGGTGATAACACCCCTCCCCCTCCCCCCCCAGCTCTTGGACTAGTATGCAAAGCAAAAAAAATTTACAATAATGCAGTGACTCATCAGGGGTTGAATGTGTGATTTTTTTATTTGTAGATAACATATCTCCAGTTATTGTATATAATGGGAGTCCATGTATTACTCGGGTAATATAATTATTATAGATGTTGGCTTAGTGTTTCCGACTGTTCACTCTTTCCAATCTCGTCCAGTTTCTCATAAGTACTGATTGTACAGTATAAAGCTATTACTACAGTGTAGTCTGCATTTACGCGGTCAATTGAACCCGTGGAGGCCCGTGTAAAACGAGAAACGCGTAAATGAAATAACAGAACATATGGGATTAATTGAAATAGAGACTGGGCTGACCCCCAAACTCCACTTTTTGGCGACACAATACGTACGTTGTAGTAAAAATGACATCTTAACTTTATGATGGTATGCACACACACATAATATAGAAGAGAAATATCAATAAGAGAATAATATACTGTACCAGGTAAAAGAAAAATCAAGGTTTAACACTTACGTTAGGTTAGGTTAGAAAAAATCAAGGTTTAACACTTACGTTAGGTTAGGTTAGGTTTAACACTTACGTTAGTAGAAAAGATGGGTCGGTATACGTTGATGGGGGCTGGTTCCGAGGCAAAGGGCAGATAACTGGCCCTCAGGTGAATCACCATCACTATCCACCACAGTTGTCAGGGCCTCCCTGACAAATCCCTCAAAGTCAACATTACTGTCACTATTACTGGCTTGGGCTGGCTGTGGTGGGTTGCGGGCAAAGAAGTCCGTGATGTTACGCTGGCGGCTAGTGTTGATGTGTTCGTGATACATCTTGATGTACAGCTCCATAGTCTGCAACAGCTGGTTATTGAAGACTTCATAGCGGTGATCGTCAGAGTCGTTGGAAAAGACGAGCTTGAGTTTCTCTGCAAACTCGATGGCATCCTTTATATGTGTTAACTTATGTTCTTCTCGGGCTGCCGCACCACCTGCATCTTCACTGACGTCATCGTCTTCCAACATCTCTTCGGCAGTCACCTCAGGATCCCTGATCACCTCCATAATGTTTTCGTTGGTGGTCTCGGAGAAGCCTGCAGCTGTAACACTCAGTGCAGCTTCTCTTGCAAGGTCCACTGCCACTGCAACAGACTGAACCTCACCAGTCACAGGTTGACTCTGCCTCCCACCTGGGATACCTTGCAACACATGCCGCAATGCGTGACGAATCGTTGCCACAGACAGCTGTCCCCATGCCTCCACCAAGAAATCAACAGCTTCCTTGACGTTGAATTTCTTCCAAAATTGTTTGACGCGAACTTCTTGATCCACCAACTCTTCTTCCTCGTCCTCGTCGCTCTCGCTATCGGTGTCATCCAGGTTACGCAACTCATCCTAGGTGTTGGTACAGTCGTTCAGGAGCTTAAACTTCTTTGCAGAGAATGCAGCCTTAACGTTGCATATCAACTCCTGGTCCATGGGCTGGATTAACGACGTAGTGTTGGGAGGAAGGAAGACCACTTTTACGTTGGGGTGACGTTCCAACAGTAGGGGGCGAGTGTCCTGGTTCATTGTCAAGGAGCAACAAAATGTTGAATGGAACATTCTGTTGCTCACAGAATTTCTTGACGTCTGGAACGAAACAGTCATCAAACCAGGAGAGGGACAGAGTAGAGAACATCCACGCCTTACATGCGGTTAGCCAGTGGACATTTAGCTTGGTCATGTCCATGTTCTTGTAAGCGTGTGGCTTGCGGGCTGTGTGGATCACCGATAACTTGAGCTTACAGTTACCAGAGGCATTGGTGGTAAACAGGACGGTGATGCGCTCCTTCTGCAATTTCCGGCCCCGACACTTGCTGGCAGACTTGACAACGAAGGTCTTGGAAGGTAGCTTTTTTCCAAAACAGACCGGATTCATCCATGTTGAACACCTGGTCGTCGGTGTACTGTCCTGCCTCCATAACTTCTCGGAAGAATGGAGGAAAATCCCTAGCCGCAACATGGTCAGCACTCGCTTCTTCACCACCAATGTTAATGTTGGTGATCTTGTTCCTCTTCTTAAACCTCTGCAACCACCCAGAGGAAGCATTGAAGAGTTTGGGCTCTGCAATTCCCATCTTGCGTGCCACTGCTCCGTACAGTTCACGTGCGTAGTCCTGAACTGACCGCGTGTCCACCGCCATGTTCCGTCTTGCCTGACGAATTAAGTAGCTCACCAGCAAATTCTCAGTCTTGAGCAGCACCTTGTTCTGGTAGTATTTCACCATTGAAGCACCTGCAGACTTTGTGATGCTCATGTGTTCTTTTATCTTGGGGGCATCCTTCTTCATCGTCCGGATCATAGATTCGTTCGCGCCATGCTGGCGCGCCAAATCAACTTGCCTCGTCCCTTTTTCTAACTCTTGTGCGATCTTGTAGTTAACTTCGTAACTTAGGGCACGTCGTATCTTCTTTGACTTGGAGCGGCTGGGTCCAGGTAATGCAAGGTTTTTCTGTAGTGATGGGGGTCCAGCGGATGCCATTCTTACCAGATTAACGGGAACAATAGAACACAGTATACACTGGGTGACTGGGTACAGGACGACTGACGCGGGTAGCGGCTTCTTCTCTGTGGTGGCAAGGCACATCATATTACATTGAACCAATCACAGCTAGCAGGGGAGGGAGGTAAGGATGCATGGCCCAATCACAGTCCGATACGTCATATGACGTCACCAATAACTCAACAGCGACATACTGCGCAACCTTACTCGCACCGCTTCCCCCCGCTTATGGTCAAGCATGGCGGGATGGGAGGCCACTTGAATCCAAAATGGCGCAGCGCGTCTGGACCTCCAGCTGCTCGCCGCGTAAATGACCAAATTTACCGCGTAATTAAAGCATTTCAATTCTGGCAAGGCACCGCATAAATGACCAAACGCGTTAACCAAAACCGCTTAAATCCAGACTATACTGTATACAGTAAACCCTTGATAACTTGGCACATATGGGGCTCTGTCCTTCACGATTTATCCCAAATTCTGATTTATCAAGGCACTTACCCCCCACCCCCATAATAATGCAGTACAACAATAAAACATTATTGGCCCATATATGTTTTCATGTAATTACTAATTTTCTAAAAGTATCTCTAACCAGCACTGAAGGTGAAGAATGAAACATCATTGTACTAGGTGACAGATGCATGGTAGGTGAAATAGGTGTCGGAAGTGATGGATGGGGGACACTTAAGTAAACAGTGCTGCACTTCTGTACAGTATACTGTACTATTGTAATATGTTCGCTTATATAAAATAAAGAATTTGATTTTCACTTAAACGTACTAGAATACTATATTGTACACTATTTTCACTTATACATTACTAGAGTACTATATTGTACACTATTTTCACTTAAACATTACTAGAGTACTATATTGTACATTATTTCACTTAAATGCTATGTTAACACTGAGATGACAAGGAACAGTGTGCAATCACTCACTATTGGATGACAGCAAGATACGTGGCACTCCTGGGGAAATACAATGTGGGAAATTGGCACTGCTGGAAGTGATGTCTGAGGAAGAGTATCCTGATACTGTAGGTATCACTAAGGAGGCTTCACTGCTTCACGAGACACTTCCTGAAGGGCTCAACACTTCCTTTCTCAGCACTGGCAGCCTCACCAACAACTTCCCGGTTAACTAAGCAATAGACGGCTTCTAAAATTGAAAAGCCAACCTGCACTTGCATTGAAGCCTTTTATCTTAAGGTGTTGTGCAAAGTGAACTGCGGCATTTTGAATGTCCACGCCTCGTACTTTGATGCCTGATGCACGTTCTTGCTCGTGCCACTTGTGCACAGCTTGATCTAAGTCACCAAACTCTGCAGGCTTAATTCTTTTGTACACTTTTTTTGAATGCCCAACGTCCTCTAGACTTAAAAAGTGCTTCTGAATCCTGTCATGATTCTATTTTATATCGTAAGATGTACTGGATTTGATCCCAAACTTCTTATACACATGGATGCCCCAGCATCAACTCGGTCAAACACTTTATTCTTTCCCTGAAGACTCGGGGACTTGAGCTTCATGCCCAACCTATAGCTCCTTGACGGTGCAGACACCATATCAATGATGTTTGATGAGGGAGATGACAAGCAGAGAACAAAGTGTGGAGAGACAGGCAATGCACTACCGACCACAGCAATAATAAACACCAGACTGACCAAGTGTGGAGAGCAGCTCGGTATCGCTGTGTCACTGTTACTCACGTGGCTAAATATACCAAATATACCGAGATTTTGCAATACTGTATAATTTTATAAAACTTGGCATTTCCCGAATTATTTCATAATAACTTCCGAGAGCATAGCCGTGGTGATTTACAGTATATGAAATTCTGAAATATTGATTGCCAAGTCGTCAAGGGCTTACTGCATGTATTTCACTTAATTTTATTCATTAAAAATACATTTTAATTTGAGGATTTTTTTTTTTTTTTATTATACAAGAATATATCTTGGCATTTATTTTGGGAGTCTGGGAAAATGTATTTTGATTTATGTGAAAGTTATTGAATAATGGTTTTCAGTAGTCTTTATTTTTATGACCTTAACAGACTGGATTTATAACTAAACTAATTAAAATTTTCAGACATATACAGCAAAGAAAAATGGAACGCCCTTTACAGTGTGGGGAACAGGCAAACCTCTGCGACAGTTTGTGTACTCGCTGGACCTGGCCAAGCTAATGATATGGGTGCTGCGAGATTATAATGAGATCACTCCCATTATCCTTTCAGGTGAGTTTAACAAAGATAAAGTGTATGGATATGTACATACCAAGATATGTGAACACGCCTGGCTCAGGACTCTTGTTACCATTCATTGTACCATTTATTCACATGTCTGTATTACTTCATATTATTATAGCATGTCTGATGTCTATGCTTATGTCTAATGCCTATGTTCATTTACTATGTGTGTGGGTGGTTGTTGAAGGGTGTGTGTGTGGGTGGTTGTTGAAGGTGTGTGTGGGTGGTTGTTGAAGGGTGTGTGTGTGGTGGGTGGTTGTTGAAGGGTGTGTGTGTGTGGGTGGTTGTTGAAGGGGTGTGTGTGTGTGGGTGGGTGGTTGTTGGGAAGGGTGTGTGTGTGTGTGTGTGTGGGTGATTTGTTGAAGGGTGTGTGTGTGGGTGGTTGTTGAAGGGTGGGTGGGTGGTTGTTGGAAGGGTGTGTGTGTGGGTGGTTGTTCAAGGGTGTGTGTGTATGGGTGGGCGTTTGGTGAAGGGGTGTGTGCGTGTGTGGTTCTTGAAGGGTGTGTGTGTGTGTGTGGGTGGTTGTTGGAAGGGTGTGCCGTGTGTGTGTGTGTGTGTGGGTGGTTGTTGGAAGGGGTGTGTGTGTGTGGGTGGTTGTTGAAGGGTGGGTGGGTGGTTGTTGGAAGGGGTGTGTGTGTGGGTGGTTGTTCAAGGGTGTGTGTGTATGGGTGGGTGGTTGTTGGAAGGGTGTGTGTGCGTGTGTGTGGTTCTTGAAGGGTGTGTGTGTGTGTGGGTGGTTGTTGAAGGGTGTGTGTGTGTAGGTGGTTGTTGAAGGTGTGTGTGTGTGTGGGTGGTTGTTGAAGAAGGGTGTGTGTGTGGGTGGTTGTTGAAGGGTGTGTGTGTGTGTGTGGGGGGTGTGTGTGGTGTGTGGTGTGTGTGTGGGTGGTGTGTATGTGTGTGTTGGTGGGTAGTTGTTGGAAGGGTGTGTGTGTGGTGGATTTGGTTGTTGGGGTGTGTGTGTGTGTGTGTGTGTGTGTGTGTGTGTGTGTGTGTGTGTGTGTGTGGGTGGTTGTTGGAAGAGGGTGTGTGTGTGTGTGTGTGTGTGTGTGGGTGGTTGTTGGAAGGGTGTGTGTATGGGCGGGTGGTTGTTGAAGGGTGTGTGTGTGGGTGGGTGGTTGTTGAAGGGTGTGTGTGTGGGTGTTTGTTGGAAAGGGTGTGTGTGTGGGTGGTTGTTGAAGGGTATGTATGTGTGTGGGTGGTTGTTGAAGGGTGTGTGTGTGGGTGGTTGTTGGAAGGGTGTGTGTGTGGGTGGATTTGTTGGAAGGGTGTGTGTGTGTGGGTGGTTGTTGGAAGGGTGTGTGTGTGTGTGTGGGTGGGTGGTTGTTGGGGGTGTGTGTGTGTGTGTGGGTGGGTGGTTGTTGGAGGGTGTGTGTGTGTGTGGGTGGTTGTTGAAGAGGGTGGGTGGGTGGTTGTTGGAAGGGTGTGTGTGTGGGTGGTTGTTCAAGAGATTATTGTGTGTATGGGTGGAGTGGTTGTTGAAGGGTGTGTGTGCGTGTGTGGATTTTCTTGAGAAGGGTGTGTGTGTGTGTGTGTGGGTGGTTGTTGAAGAGGGTGTGTGTGTGTGTGTGTGGTAAGGTGAGTTTGTTGAAGGGTGTGTGTGTGTGTGGGTGGTTGTTGAAGGGTGGGTGGGTGGTTGTTGAAGGGTGTGTGTGTGGGTGGTTGTTCAAGGGGTGTGTGTGTGTGGGTGGGTGGTTGTTGAAGGGTGTGTGTGTGCGTGTGTGTGGTTCTTGGGGGTGTGTGTGTGTGTGGGTGGTTGTTGGAAGGGTGTGTGTGTGTGTGGGTGGTTGTTGAAGGGTGTGTGTGTGTGTGGGTGGTTGTTGAAGGGTGTGTGTGTGGGTGGTTGTTGGAAGGGTGTGTGTGGCTGTGTGTGTGTGTGGGGGGTGTGTGTGTGTGTGGTGTGTGTGTGGGTGGTGTGTATGTGTGTGTGTTGGTGGGTAGTTGTTGAAGGGTGTGTGTGTCGTGTGTGTGGGTGGTTGTTACAGAAGGGTGTGTGTGTGTGTGTGTGTGTGTGTGTGTGTGTGTGTGTGTGTGTGGTAGGTGTGTGGGTGGTTGTTGAAGGGTGTAGGTGGTAGGTGGGTGGGGTGTGTGTGTGTGTGTGTCTGTGGGGGTGTGTGTGTGGGTGGTAGGTGGGTGGTGTGTGTGTGTGTGTGGGTGGGTGGTTGTTGAAGGGTGTGTGTGTGTGTGTGTGTGGTTGTTGAAGGGTGTGTGTGTGTAGGTGGTTGTTGAATGGTGTATGTGTGGGTGGTTGTTGAAGGAAGGGTGTGTGTGTGTGTGTGGGTGAGATTTGTTGAGGTGTATGTGGGTGGGTGGTTGTTGAAGGGTGTGTGTGTGTGGGTGGTTGTTGAAGGGTGTGTGTGTGTGTGTGTGTGTGGTTGTTGAAGGTGTGTGTGTGTGTGGGTGGTTTATTTGAAGGGTGTGTGTGTGTGTGGGTGGTTGTTGAAGGGTGGTGTGTGTGTGTGGTTGTTGAAGGGTGTGTGTGTGGGTGGTTGTTTGAAGGGGTGTGTGTGTGGGTGGTTGTTGGAAGGGTGTGTGTGTGGGTGGTTTGTTGAAGGGTGTGTGTGTGTGTGTGTGTGTGGTTGTTGGAAGGGTGTGTGTGTGGGTGGTTGTTGGAAGGGTGTGTGTGTGTGTGTGTGTGTGTGTGGTTGTTGAGGTGTGTGTGTGGGTGGTTGTTGAATGGTGTATGTGGTGGGTGGTTGTTGAAGGGGTGTGTGTGTGTGTGTGTGGGTGGTTGTTGAAGGGTGTGTGTGTGTGTGGGTGGTTGTTGGGGTGTGTGTGTGGGTGGTTGTTGAAGGGTGTGTGTGTGTGTGTGGGTGGTTGTTGGAAGGGTGTGTGTGTGTGGGTGGTTTGTTGGAAGGGGTGTGTGTGTGGGTGGTTTGTTGAAGGAGGTGTGTGTGTGGGTGGTTGTTGGAAGAGATTGTGCGTGCTTGGTGGTTGTTGAAGAAGTGTGTGTGTGTGTGTGTGGTTGTTGAAGGGTGTGTGTGTGGGTGGTTGTTGAAGGGGTGTGTGTGTGTGTGTGTGTGGTTGTGGAAGGTGTGTGTGGTGGTTGTTGAAGGGTGTATGTGTGGGTGGTTGTTGGAAAGGGTGTGTGTGTGTGTGGTGGTTGTTGAAGGTGTGTGTGTGTGTGTGGGTGGTTGGTGAAGGTGTGTGTGTGTGTGTGTGGGTAGTTGTTGAAGGTTGTGTATGTGTGTGTGTGTGGTTTTGGAAGAGATTGTGTGTGGGTGTTTGTTGGAGATTATGTGTGGGTGGTTGTTGAGGGTGTGTGTGTGTGTGTGGGTGGTTGTTGCTTGAAGGGTGTGTGTGTGTGTGGGTGGTTGTTGGGGGTGTGTGTGTGTGTGGGTGGTTGTTGTTGAAGGGTGTGTGTGTGTGGGTGGTTGTTGAAGGGGTGTGTGTGTGTGTGGGTGGTTGTTGAAGGGTGTGTGTGTGTGTGTGTGTGTGTGTGGGTGGTTGTTGAAGGGTGTGTGTGTGTGGGTGGTTGTTGAAGGGGTGGGTGGGTGGTTGTTGGTGTGTGTGTGGGTGGTTGTTCAGGGTGTGTGTGTATGGGTGGGTGGTTGTTGGGGTGTGTGTGCGTGTGTGGTTCTTGAAGGGTGTGTGTGTGGGTGGTTGTTGAAGGGTGTGTGTGTGTGTGTGGGTGGTTGTTGAAGGGTGTGTGTGTGTGTGGGTGGTTTGTTGAAGGGTGTGTGTGGGTGGTTGTTGGAAGGGTGTGTGTGTGTGTGTGGGGGTGTGTGTGTGTGTGGGTGTGTGTGGGTGGTGTGTATGTGTGTGTTGGTGGGTAGTTGTTGAAGGGGTGTGTGTGTGTGTGGGGTGGTTGTTAGGGTGTGTGTGTGTGTGTGTGTGTGTGTGTGTGTGTGTGTGGTAGGTGTGTGGGTGGTTGTTGGAAGGGTGTGGGTGGTAGGTGTGGGTGGTGTGTGTGTGTGTGTGTCTGTGGGTGTGTGTGTGTGGTGTGTGTGTGGGTGTGGCCAGGTGGGTGGTGTGTGTGTGTGTGTGGGTGGGTAGTTGTTGAAGGGTGTGTGTGTGTGTGTGTGTGTGGCTGGTTGTTGAAGGGTGTGTGTGTGTGGGTGGTTGTTGGATGGTGTATGTGTGGGTGGTTGTTAGGGTGTGTGTGTGTGGCGGTGGTTGTTGAAGGGTGTGTGTGGGTGGGTGGTTGTTGAAGGGTGTGTGTGTGGGTGGTTGTTGGAAGGGTGTGTGTGTGTGTGTGTGTGGTTGTTGGAAGGGTGTGTGTGTGTGTGGGTGGTTGTTGAAGGGTGTGTGTGTGTGGGTGGTTGTTGGAAGGGGTGTGTGTGTGTGTAGTTTGTTGGAAGGGGTGTGTGTGTGGGTGGTTGTTGGAAGGGGTGTGTGTGTGTGGGTGATTGTTGAAGGGTGTGTGTGGGTGGATGTTGAAGAGTGTGTGTGTGTGTGTGTGTGTGTGGCTGGTTGTTGAAGGGTGTGTGTGTGGGTGGATTTGTTGGAAGGGTGTGTGTGTGTGTGTGTGTGTGGTTTGTTGAAGGGGTGTGTGTGTGGGTGGTTGTTGAATGGTGTATATGGCTGGGTGGTTGTTGGAAGGGTGTGTGTGTGTGTGTGTGTGTGGGTGGTTGTTGGAAGGGTGTGTGTGTGTGTGTGGGTGAGTTGTTGAAGGGTGTGTGTGGTATTGTGGGTGGTTGTTGAGAAGGGGTGTGTGTGTGGGTGGTTGTTGAAGGGTGTGTGTGTGTGGGTGGTTGTTGAAGGGTGTGTGTGTGGGTGGTTGTTGAAGAGGGTGTGTGGGTGGTTGTTGGAAAGAGGTGTGCGTGTGGGTGGTTTGTTGAAGAGTGTGTGTGTGTGTGGTGTGTGGTTGTTGGAAGGGTGTGTGTGTGGGTGGTTGTTGGAAGGGTGTGTGTGTGTGTGTGTGTGGTTGTCAGAAGGGTGTGTGTGTGGGTGGTTGTTGAAGGGTGTATGTGTGTGGTGGTTGTTGGAAGGGTGTGTGTGTGTGTGTAGGTGGTTGTTGGAAGGGTGTGTGTGTGTGGGTGGGTTGTTGGGAAAGGGTGTGTGTGTGTGTGTGGGTGGTTGTTGGGGTTGTGTATGTGTGTGTGTGTGGTTTTGAA